CGCATGCCCTTGTCCAGCCTGGGGCGTGCTCCGGGTTACGATTTCGGAGATAGATGCTGAAGCTTCGGCTACTATATTCAGATCAGGAACGTAGCAAAGTACTTCTTTCTCTCGATGTTGTATTCCGTGTCTGCATACGGTGGTCTCGTCCCTTTGCTTTTGGCGGCCTTGTTTTTTGCACTCGCCTCGGCCTTCGCTTTTGGTTTCGCCTTTGCTTTCCCATTCTTCTTCTCCTTCTTCTCGGCTTCCATTGTTTCAGAGGCTTCTGGTTTCGGGGCATCGGGAGCCTTCCCGGCTGCAACAAGCAGTCGTTGGCGATGGGGAACAACCGCATTGTGTTTCCCACTAAGTGCCGCCTGGACAACACTGGCGGGTACACCTGACATCCCCGTCATTCCAGGGATCTCGAATGCCTGAGCTACATTGGAAGCAGATCCACCCCATTGTCATTTCGAATTCCGACCCCCCGAAGTGCGCAACACTCCAAATGAAGCCAAAGCGGCAGCAGGACCTTTGAGGTCGCGGGTGCGATCAGCTGGTTTGCCATGATGCACGGCCTGAAAGCTTGCGAGAATGTGGCTGGGCAGTGAGATAGGAGTTAGCGTGACTCGGATCGGTCCTTGACCCTAGAATACTTCGTTGGTTAATGTTGTGGGTGATATTATTCCTTGGGCCCCTATATGATTAAACAAAGTATTCTAACTTAAACCCAGGATGTAAATCTCAAGACCGATGCTCATGCATTCTCGAATCGCGCACAAACACACAATTGGACCGTATGCACTCCTCTCCTCTCCGCCTGCCTCATCATTGGCAGTCTTGGCCGGGATCTTCGGGCACCTGGGCGGGGTTTCTATAGGGGTCGACATCTACTAAATTAATTCTCGGGATTGATGCAGCAGATGCACGCAGGCATTGACGTATCAGGGCTGGATCCAGGGAGCTCCTTCGTCGGAAGCCTTGCAACCTTATGAGCAAAATCGTCAAGCCACACGCTTCCAGCATAAGTTGTCGAATATCTTATTTGACCGGGAAGCGATAAGCCGATTACACATAGCAAGCTTCTCCTCATCGGTGGCTGCGTCGAGCCAGAGTGCCATGTCCTGCGATCGTGGGTTCTGTTTATGGTAACACGATTCGGATTAAAATTAAGGCTTAGCGGTTTAAGGTTTCTGATGATAGCAGTCGCAACTTTGTTGTGGTTTATAGGGCCTTGTAGGCTTGTAGGGTTTCCATTTTAGGGTTTGGGATTTCTGAACTACAGACCCACTACAGTCCAACCAAACTCGGCTGGCCACCGTGGATGCGCACTAATTCGTTTCAATATCTATGGTCTGGTTTACCATTAGGTTACATTTTAGTTTTATACTAGTAGTCAGCTCAACCTGGTCTACTCAAATCAGATTAAACCGTATGGTTCTGTTCTAAATTGATTCCATCTATAACCCGCCATATTATTCCAATATAAGCCAACTGCGTTTGAAATCTGATCTCTATATATGCCACCACGTGTGCAGATTGATATTCGTATATTGGTCTATATTATTATTTAGCGTGAATATCGATTATATGCGTTAGTCGTTATAGCTTATGATTTTATTTCTATGATCTATCTCATTATCTATCTACTTTGAAGATTTACTCATGTATACATGTGTGTATATATATACAAACATACATACATAGCAGGCTTATCTGTGTACTTCGATCTTTGATTGAAAAGTTAGTCTACCAAGTTGTGTAGTATAGGTTCGTTTTCATACATATACCTATATATATACACATATTCATTTGTTTCAACCTCCGGTACCTATTCAACTTAGTGGTACATCTGACTGGTCTTGTGTTCCATGTTCGACCACGATATCTTCAAACGACCGTCCTCGAGGCTTGTGGGCATCGGCTCAGCGTGATTCACGGGCTCTGTGGGGTTCGAAACCTTCTTGTTCCCGGCAGTGGAAGGCTCCTGCATGTGTGCGGGATATATAAGAACCCAAATTAATTCAATCAATCCGAACCACGAAACATACACAACTAGTCAACTATATGGACTCCTGGGCTGGGTTTGTCTTGTACTTGGACCACCAAACATCGAGACGCTCTCGGTCGGCCTTCGTAGGATACTCCTGGGTCACGTTTGTGATCGGGGCCCTTGGCCACGTGGGGTAAATGTCGGTCTCTGCGCCGACAGCCGCCTCCCACTCCTCATCAGCCATGCTTGTGCCATCGTGATTGGGGTCTTCATCATCGGCAGCTGTCCACTGCTCGCCCTCGGGATTGGGGCCTTGCTCATCGGCAGCTTTCCACTGCTCCTCGTGATTGGGGCCTTCATCATCGGCAGCTTTCCACTGCTCCTCATCCGGGCCTTCATCATCGGCAGCTTTCCACTGCTCCTCATCGAGGCCGTGATCATCGGCAGCTTCCCACTGCTCCTCATCGTGATCGAGGCCTTCATCATCGGCAGCTTCCCACTGCTCCTCATAGGAGCCTTCATCATCGGCAGCTTTCCACTGCTCCTCATCGGGGCCGTCATCATCGGAAGCTTTCCACGGCTCCGCCTGGTGACTGGGATCATCGGCAGGCCATGGCTCGTCCTGGGCAGTCAACTGCTGCTCATCGTCAGCAGCCCAACTCTCACCCAAGTGCTCGGCTTGATTAACGTCTTCATCACCATTGGGAACCCATGGCTCCTCATCGGGAGCCCACTCCTCCTCGCCAGCCCAGTCCTCATGATCATGACTGGCGCCGGTTTCCCACGGCTCCGTGTGATCGGGGCCTTCATTGCCATCGGCAGGATCTTCATCGGCGGCTTCATCACCACCATCGGCCCCAGCGCTCTCACCCACGGGAACAAACCACATCTCCACCGGGGGCTCATCACCCACGTGCCACTCCTCTCCGTCGAACCAGTGGCATGACCCGCATTTGGAAATCGCATCCTCTGTATACTATCATAGCCTATCCCCACCTACCCCAACCAGCTTTAGGGTTTAAGTTTAAGGTTTAGGGTTCAGGGGTTGAGGATTTATGAGGGTCCTATTGGGCCCAGGTTAAATATTCTACTCGGGATTGATAATTGCAAACGGTCCTCAGGGCCATCATAAATCTCACGAACCTGCGACGCGTCCTTCCACGACCAATCGTCACTCGCCTCGGATTTGCAGGAGGACCGGGTCAACATATAGAGCAACTCTACATACATGTCTGTATGCATCCGGAATAGTGCAAACTATGTCACCTTTGGCATATCACTCTCCCCATCCTTGGATAACTGACCGGGTCAAGCATTGCACACTGCACGCGAAGCGCACTCAAACTGCGAGTAATATATACCGTGCTATTCAAAGAAACCTTGGGAACAGGAGCAGCGACGCCATCGCCAAAAGCATGTTCATCTTCATCACCCCATTCCTCTTCCGGATTTTCCCCCTCAGTTGCACAAAGTATATACAGCCGGATCGAACTCGCAACAAGTCTGAATACCTAGCCTTAGGGTTTATCTATTGAATTGAGCAACCTCGACGTCGGTATCAGGAATGCAAAGGTGGCTCGGCCTCGGATCACGCACACAAAGTCACATTGAAACAAACCTTGAATTTAGCGGTCTAGGGGCACATAATGCTCGGTCCCGGTTGCGTCTTGGCACGTAAGCGCAGGCGTTTCGATGGCTGGAGATCGGCAGCCTTATTGAAATTGTTTGGTTGGATGTATTCACTACCAAGTAGATATTTGGTAGCTATAGTCGGAGGCAAGACACACCCATGTCACTGGAAGATCTTTTGTTGATCAGTGGCACCTGCGCGTCCTGCCCGGGGCTAGTCTATCAACATTCAGGACAATTTCTCGCGAATACGAAACTGGATAGAAGTGATTGCTGGTACAGTATGGTACAGTCCTCCATTGGATCTAGCTCCCAAGGCTGTGTCTCACCATCGTCCATGGCTTCGTCGTCTGATTTAGCAGATCCAACAGTACTCCTTCGGGCCTTCGACAACAAACTCGCCAAGCTATCCGAGGTGGTGGTGTACCAGCTTTCCCAACTAAAGCCGGGGGTAGTCTCGGGGACCTCGAGAGCATGGCTATCCACAATCTTGACCAATGCATCTTTCACCATGCCAGTGGTAAACCACCTCCCATCTAGCTGGCTAGCCCAACTCAGGAGCTCCCTCGTGGCACGATGTCGAAGGCTGTTAGTGGGTGTCAGTACCCCTGTTTCCCGGATTTCACATAAACGAGGCTGGCATACCTTCTCCCAGATCAACTCAGCCAGTCTCTCAACCTTCTGCTTGCGACTTTGCTCAGCAACGTAGGAGGGCATGGCTAGCTACAGTGCAGGTCTGGATGCAATGATTTCCACCGTACGTACAGTGCAATATACACTGCTGCATGCATGCAGGATCACATGCTGCACATGTTTCGATTTAACATGCTACAGGCCGGTGCTCGATCAAAAACCCTGTGGCATTCGTTTCCATCGATCAATGGTCGAACTGCAGCATGCATGCAAGCACACATGCATGTGATCTGATGAACAGCACCGACAATCGCCTCGATCCAGAAATGCCCAGCAAGGGCTCGTTCCAACTCGGACCGATCCGTGGTCCAACTATTTGACAGAAATATATTGTTATGTATAAAAGCTGTGTATGTATATATATATATATATATATAAATATATGTATAGTTAGCCTGATATATTTGTAAGAGTTATGTATTTGTGGTGTCTTAAGGATTTAAGGTCTTTTTGTTTTTTCTCCCGTCGAAGTATCACACCGCGATCCTCGTCGCGTGATACTCGGTATATAGTAGGGGTGAAACAGTAATGTAGTAATGCCCTGTACATGGACTGTACATTTACGTTCTTGATGGTTCTCGATCGCGCAGAAATATGGTCGGTTTGTTGTCTCTGCGGTACGGAACGATGGACAAAATCACTCACTCGAACAACAAGTTTTCGACACAGGATCTAACAAGCGAACAGGAACGAACTAGTGATTGGGATGCAAGCATCGAATAGCCCGTGGTGGTCAGTGACTCCAGAGACTCCCGACAATAGAGCCGTCACTGATAATAGAACCTCCGGGGCTGTACCCGTGAGCGAGCCACGCGAGCCACCGTATCCACCGCCTTCGATTCGTGCCTTGGGTACTAATTCAGAAAGGGTTGCGGGATCTTCAGGGCTAGAGGCTTCCGGGTCGCTAAGTGTTCTTCCGAGTGGGAGAAATTTGCCGCCCCAGCCTCCTGTTCCAAAAGCTAAAACAGGAGTCACGCCATCTACTGCACCAAACGTCGGACCATATCTCACGCTCGGACAGCGAGCAGCGGTTATCTCACCTAACAATCCGTTGCTTCGTGTGCGGTCGAGATCTCCACCACGGTCCTCTTCGATCCCATCTGGATCGGCAGGTAGCGGGGTTGGACCCGAGAGGGAGCGCGAGGCAGCCGAGGAGATTCTTGAATCAGCCGAGGAGGCTGCGGAGGAGTCTCTTGATTCAGGTGCGGCTGCAAGCAGCGGGGTTGGACCCGAGCGCGCGACAACAGGCAGCGGGGCTGGACCCGAGAGGGAGTTGAGGTTCCGACCTGTGGCGCGTCAGGTGACTTCGCTTAAGGTTGCGGAGGGATTGCTTCCGCCGGGTACTTCTGTGCTGCTGTCATTGGACATTCATTTGGTCGCTGACCGCGACGAGGCGAGGACATCTGCGTGCCTTGAGAGACTCTTGCGAGAGCACTCGGACTTGGCTGTGATTTTCTGCTCGTACGCGGTGAAGCAAAAGACCATTGATAAGGCGGTCCAGTGTATCCACCGTATTTGTGATCGGACGATTGTGCGGCGCCCTTTGACCTTTCCCATTTTCTTCACGACATCCAAGATTGCGCCGGGCACAGGCAAAGGAGCACAATTGTCTAAGTTGGCGGATATCTTTAGCCGGTCGCGACCCGCTCCACTGACCTTTTTGTATCACGTGGACGATCAAGATCCGATTTGCAAGAACGTGACATCCTACGGCCATCACGGTGTGCATTGGGCGGAGGAGGACCCGCGTGCTTTGGATCAGATCGTGTGGGAGCTCTGTTGGCTCTAGCCGCCGACTGGCAAAACAGAAAGGCAGAGGAAGACTGCAAACGCAGCTCCTCGGGTTCGGGTTCGTGTTGAGGGTCAACTTTGACGGTTGGGGTGAAGTATTTTTACAACCCTTAGACCTCGGTTGAACCGCTGTTCCCATAATGCCTCTAGCATCACAACTGGGATTCGAAGAATCCTCACTGGAAATTTCATCAGGGCTCAAGCACTTAGCGTGCGCCCGGAGGCAGCTAGGCAGTCGGATTCATCAAGTTCGGGGCCGATTCGGAGGAACCGGGCTAGATCATTGTCGTATGGACCCGCATCGAGGTCTTCATCCCTGCAACCGGCACCAACCTTTGCAGCGAATGTTGGCCCTGCCCGTAGTCAGAACCCAACCTGCCCGAACACGAGCCATCAGGAGTTGCACTTGCATCAACATGCCCATCGGCAGCAGGTCCTTCAGGTTGGGGTTGACCCGGTAGCCCATGCGAACATGCAATCCGAAGCAACATCAGCCATCATGAACGCCAGAGCTGAGACAGCAGCCGTGTTTGGCGAAGCCGAAGCAGTGATTCAGTCTCTAAGATCAGAGAACCAACAGCTAGGTGCCCAGGCCGCTGCGATTCAGGGTGAGTCGTATGCCGCCATACAGGTGCTAAGGTCCGAAAACCAGCAGTTGGGTTCACGCGCTTCGGTGATTCAGGGTGAAGCTGAAACGGTGATCGGAAACCTCCGAACTGAGAATCAACAGTTAGGGGAGATGAACCGTGAGCTCAACCAGAGACTCGAAAAGCAAGCTAAGATGATCCTTGAGCAGCAAGAGTTATCTAAGGCTATGCATCAGCAGCTAATCGCGCTTCAGTCGCATGTGCAAGCTGCCGAACCAAAGAACCCAAGCATCCCTTCATCGGCTATCCCCGCGAGCTATACCCAAAATGGCGCGGATCAGGCTGCGTCTGCATTCAACGCATTGCAGGCACTCGCGGGTGAAGTTGGGGGAACAATGCGAAGGATTGAACAGGCAATTGAGGTAGCCCTTAGTCCCAAAGCCAAAGCAAAGAAGCAGAAAGCTAAAGCCGAGGCTACAGCTAGGGCCATTGCACCATCAGTTGCGTCTCCAATTCCCGCTAAGGCTTCCGGTTCTAGTGGTTCGGTTGCCCCGGGTCCGGTTGAGTTTGGATTGCCACCGTACCAATGCAGCCGTAAGAGCATCTTCACGGGTAGATTGCATTCCGCAACACCCGCTTCTCCACCTCCTCCACCACAGAAGCTAAAGCCCCAAGTCTTCGACATAGCAGATGAAGATGACTTTGATGAGCATGGCGAAGATGAGGGTGATGAGGACGGAGAAGATTTCGAGGATGATCCAATCGTCCCCGTTGCGGCTCACGAGCCTGAAGATGACAGAGATTACGAGTCTAGCATTTATAAGTACAAAGACCTGAAAGACATCAAGCTTCCCCAAATTCCGGGTTCTAGCGTTGAGTTCAGGGCTTACCGCAATTCGGTGCTAACACAGATTGCGTCAATCGATTGCAGCGGCAAAGCCGTCCTGTTGAAGTGGCTTCAGAAGAGCCTTGATCCATCAGGGAGCATTGCATTGACACGGTCGCTTCAGCAGGATTGCGAGGGTTTGCCTAGACTTGATGGGTGGATCTCCGCATGTATCAGTGATGCGAAACACCTAAAAGGTGAATGGGGATTGCAAGCGCAGTCGTACTTGGAAAGGTGTCATGCGTCTGGAACGATGCCATCGGGTCGTGCACTCTTGTCCATTCTTAGCAGAAGATACCGGATAGATAAAGTGCGCGGGCCATTGGTGACACTACAATCCTTGTTCGATTTAGAACCTGACTCATTTTCCTACCAATCGCTTGTAGCCTTCAAACAACGCGTCGAGTACGTGTTGAATGGCTTACCGGAGCGGCAATGGCCAGATGCCGAAACAATGTTTTCCTGGATCTACTCACGGCTAAAGGGTTGCAGGATGCTTTCACGCACAATTGATCGGGTCAAAGATGCCAAGCCGGGTTCAAAGCGTAGGACATTTGAGTACATTTGGAACGGGCTCGAAGAGGTTCTTGCAGAAGTGCGCGAGGATCGTAACGAGCAAGCGCTCAAGGATTCGCTCAAAGAGGATTCCAAACAGAAGCCGAAACCAGATGCAAATGCGAAAGCAGCCGCGGCCAAGGCTACGCCCGCCGCTCCTGCTGCAAAGGCAAATGCAAAGGCTAAGGCCAAAGGCCAAGGCAATGACAAGCCCCCGAAGGCCCCGAGCAAAGCAACTCCAGGAGTCACCGACGCCAATCGTGGTGCCGGTGAGGGTGCCAACAGGGACAAAGGCAAAGGTAAAGGGAAAGGCGGAGGTAAGGATGGCAAGGCTAAACCTCAGAAACCTCCAGCTGCGAAGGATTCGTCAGCTGAACAATCCGGCCAAAGGCCAGCGTGCTTCTTCTATCCAAAAGGAACATGCACTAGGGGAAAGGATTGCCCTTTTGAGCATGTAGATGCACCAAAGAAAGCTGCTCCATCAAAGGCCGCCCCAAAGGTGCCTGCCGGAGTCGCCATGTTAGCAGCCGCGTCGACGGGCGCGAGCGCATGCAACATCCCTTCATCATTTGTCCGCGGTTTCAAAGCCACATGTCGCTTGATCACCGCTCCCTTTCGTGTGTTTGCCCGCTTTGCGGCAGCACTTTCATTTGCATTGCCCGCAACCGTGCATCATTCGCATGATCGCATTGCCGCGACAGTCAGTAGACCTAACTGTTCAGGGGGGTCGTACTTCCTTGATTGGGTTGCTGATTCTGGGGCAGGGAGAAGCCTGCTAAGCCAATCCGCGCTTGCAGATCAGGGCATTTTGACTGATATGTTCAGCGATCACATCCGGTCAACCAAGCCGTTGCAGTTTGAAACCGGGAATGGTGTGACGAGCAGTGGCACCTTCCTTACTACAACGAGCGATGCCTTTGGATCAGTAGAATCCTATGTTCTGCAAAGCTGCCCGGTAGTGCGGTCTTTAGGCCAACTAGTAGAGTTGCAGCGAAAACCTTTCGTTTGGCTTCCTGGTAGCATGCCGTTCTTCGGTAGTGACGAAGATTGCGTCCAGATCACTTGGGATTCGGATCGTGTCATTTATGCCCATAAGGTTGATGACTATGTTCCGGTATTTCGTGAGCAGATCAGGTTTGGTGGTGATGGTTTGCACAGAGCCTTAGCCGCTGGTGAGTCTGCTCCGGCAGCCCCAGCAGAGGTTCCTGCGCCCGCTGTCCCAGCAGAGGACCCTCCTCTCCCAGCTCCCGCAGCACCCCCTCCACCTGATCCAGGGGAAGGTTCCGGTGCCGACGATGAGGGTGATGAGGATGCACCAACCAAGGCTCAGCGGCTAATCACTGAAGCCCAGAGTTTACAGCATCGCTTAACGCATATGCCAAAGAACCCCTACTGTGATGTCTGCAGTCGGAGTCGAATGCTAAAGAAGCGAACGGCGAGGACGCGCTATGCAAAGTGTGATGATGAGTTAGATCCGGTTGAGGAGTTCGGTCAACGGATAGCGGCTGATTTCATCATAGTGCACAAAGACGCTAAAAGCACTGAAACCGTCGTCCTGACTGTGAGGGATGAGGCTACAGGGTACATAAGAGCTTTCCCGCTAGTGTCCAGGCACGAAGACGGGGTGGTACGATCATTGTTATCCTTTCTCGGTAGGCGCGCTTCTGGACCTTGTGTATTGTTCAAGAGCGACAATGCGCGAGAGCTCCTCGCCGCATGTGCGACGTTGGGGTTTACTTCAGAACCAAGCCTTGAGCGTAGATGGCCTCACAACTCAGTTCTCGAACGGGAGATCCGTACCATCGAGGAGTGTACAAGGGCTCTCCACATTGCGGCCGGTTTTCAGTTGCATTCGGGTCTTTGGGTTCACACTGTTCGCTATGCGGCACACACCATTAACCTTTTCCACCCTGCGGTCGGGATTGAGGGTTGTCGGTATGCGAACGCGATTGGATCCGAGTTTGGTGGCATGAAATTACAACTTGGTCAACTAGTCTATTACAGACTTGACCCGGCAAACCGTGAGAAGTTTCAGGCATCAGCAGCACCTGGTGTTTTCGCAGGTTGGCGGTTCGATAGCGGTCCATCATCATTCAGAGAAGTCTACTATGTCTTGGATTATGGTAAGCTAAAGAACCGTGAACCGGGGTACGAAAAGGCGATCTCCGTCCCTAGAGAGGAAATCCACGTTCCCCGCGGCAATCCCATCCTCCCGATGTTCACCGCTGCAGAAGCTGCTTTGTCTAGTTTCACGAAAGCCGAGTATGAAGCCATCGAATTTCTTGATGTGCCGTTCAGCACGGTAGCGCCGTCAACACCCGTTGCCAAGCGCCACGAGTACATTACTTTGGACAGACTTATGCGACTAGGTGCAACACCTGGTTGTAAGGCCTGCAAGTTCGATGGAACAGTACACACGCCAGTATGTAAGGCAAGATTTGATGGTTTGATTAAAGCCGAGAAGATTGCCGCGAGCAAGTCAGTCAGAGACGCTGCACCGCCTGATGTTGAGCGCCCTGATCCTTTGGCGGAGTCTGCACCCGCAGCCCCCGAGGGTGATGAGGATGCTCCAGAGCGCGCGAGCTCCTCTGCTGGCCCACGGGCTCCAGCTGGTGTTGTAGTTCAGTCTTCCGAAAGCAAAGTTCCAACAGGTGAGTTTGGTTTGAGTGCAAGGTTTCTCGCAAACGAGAGAGCGCGTAACAACACCAGAAGGGTGAAGGAACTTCCAGGGGAAAATGTTCTTATCGAGTACGGTTGTGAAGACGAGTCTGAGATAAGAGATGCTTGTGAACGTTGTAAGGTTCATTGTGTTAGTCTGCCCCAGTCAACGCTGGACTTGACTTCGCAGGATGACATGCAGCAAGTTGTTTCCCAAGCAATCCCAGGTGTAGATGCTTGGTTCACCATACCATGCACACATATGTCTTCACACCAAGCCGTACATCGTGAGTCCCAAAGTCCCAAGTACGCGCGAAAGATTGCACAAAGGCAAGCAACATCCAAGCGAATGTTGGTTTTGGCCCTAAATGTTGCCGACCATATCATTGAGCAGGGGGGTCGGGTTTCGTTTCAGTGGAGTTCTGATTCGGGGGTTCTTGTGCAGCCTGAGTGGATCGACTTCGCTTCGAAACACGAGCTCTCCAGTGTAGCCTGTGTCAGCGGTAACAAAGCCACCACCATTGCTTCGAACTCCAAGCGAGTACTGGAGCACTTCGCAAAGGTGTCAACGAAGGAGTCATCAGAGATCAATGCAACGAACATCAAAGCGTATGAGCTTGCGGATCTCGTGATACAATCCTTGTTTCCCCAGAGGTACTTCAAAAGTGTCCCCAATCTTGGTAAAGCTAGCGCGCTTATCACCAAGAATCTCTCTCGCCGAGAATGGCAAGCTGAGCCGAAGGCGCTTGAAGCCATCGCTCAAGAAGCTGAGGGGTTGCGCCGAAACGGCACATGGGATGACACGACGGCCATGCCTTTGCATGAGTTGAGAAGTCAGGCTAGGTCTCAGGGACGCAAGCTTCGCGTCGCAGAACTGATGACCTTGTGCGGGGTAAAGCATGCCGAACTTGCACCTGAATTTCAAAAGTTCAAAGGGAGAATTGTTTATAGAGGGGATAGGGTTTTGGATGAGTTTAACAATCTGGTTTTCTTCGAAGAGACCAGTACGACTCCAACGGGGTTAATAGCCTTGAACGCCTCCCTCTTCTGGGGTTGCTTACCGGAGCACTCTGTGTCATGCTCTGACGCAATCCAAGCATACCTCCAATCAGAGCTTAAAGAAGAGACATACGTAATCCTGCCAAGGGAGTTGTGGCTCCCTGGTTGGGAGGAGCGTTTTGGAGCGCAAGCGCGAATAGTCGTTCGACTTCGCAAGAGCTTGTACGGCCACCCACAGGCCGGACGGCTCTGGCAAGAGTACTTGTCTAGGATTTTGATCTCATTAGGCGGAAAGGAGTCCCAGGAGTTTCCAAGCAACTGGTTCTTTGAGTACAAGGATGGGGTTCTCATCTTAAACATTTACGTCGATGACTTGAGTTTGTGCGGATTAACAAAATTGCACACGCCATTTTGGCAAGCGTTGAGGGCGAAGGTCAAACTTGATCCCGAGTGTTTCATAGGTTCTGAGGGTGTTCGGATCTTAGGTAGACTGCATTGTCGGTACGATGAACCATCGTCGACCACAATGGCTTTTAGGATGCCTGAGTATGCTGAGCAGATTGTCCAAACCTATTGCGAGATCACCGGGACAACGCCCGACAAGCTTCGTCGAGTGAACACGCCCTGCATCGCTGAATCGTCAATGACCGACGAGGATATCTCAGCGCAAGGCGAGCTCCACGATTCAGCATCACGCATCTTGATGCGCTGTTTGTGGTTAGCTCGTCTCTGTAGAGCTGACATCGCATTTGCTGTAACTCGCCTAGCTTCCAGGGTCACTCGGTGGACCGCCTGGGAGGACAGACAAGTGCTTAGACTTGTGTCGTATATTCATCACACCAGAGATGTTTGCATGAATGCCAGTTGCTCTTGGGATGCCGCTCCCGAGCTACGGGTGTATACAGACGCTGACTTCGCAGCCTGTCCCTACACTTCACGTAGCACGTCCGGGATTGTAGTCCACATAGGCACAGGTCAGCATGCATTCCCTGTGATGTGGCAAAGTCGCAAGCAAACGTCTGTTGCGAGGTCGACGCCAGAGGCCGAAATGATCTCAATGGCATCAGCCATGTTTTCAGAGGTCATAAACCTGCAGACGTTCTTACAGTCAGCCTTCAAAAGCACAGTGCCAATCATCTTCTTCCAAGACAATGAAACTGTTTTGGCCATCCTGAAGTCAGGATACAGTCCAAAGCTTCGCCACTTAGGGCGCGTGCACCGCGTGAACGTGGCAAGTATGGCAGAGATCTTTGAGCAAGAAGATTTTTCGGCTACTTACGTGAACAGCAAGGAGCAATTAGCTAATGGTTTGACTAAGATCATCCCTCCTGCTGAGTGGTCTGATATGCTCACACAGTTGTGCCTTCACGAAGGTGTCCCTCACAGTGCGACCGTCTCAAAGGTCGTAGCTGAGGAAGCAGAGCGTTTTGCAAGCTCACTGCCTAGGAAGATCACACAAGAAGACCTTGTGCAGCTTTTGTCGTACTTGCCAGGGGAGAGCGCCGTGCGCCCCTCTGCAAGTGAGGCAATGTGCTTCACCACCGGTGCGTTCGCGCACGGAGGTGGGATCGCAGGTTTAAGGCAAAATGTAACCCTCTTCCCAGTAGTCACTGCGGTTTTGTGCAGGTTCATCCGTAGGGTGTTGCCTAAGCATAAGTTTACGGCAGTGATGTTGGCCAAGAATCAAATTACTTTGACTCATAAGGATTCTTACAACGAGCCATGCAGCAAGAACGCTGTAATCCCACTTGAAGTGTTCGAGGGGGGCCACGTGTGGGTGCAGTCACAAGACGGTGGCTACCCATGCCCAGACCTCAGTCGAGGTGAGAAGGGCGAGATCCTTAAATGGCCAGCGATCTTCGATCCAAGACGGTTACATGCGACGACCCCTTGCACGAAGGGTGACAGAATCGTCATAATTGCCTTCACACCTAGAAACGTGAGCAGGCTGCCCGTCGACAGCCAGCTGAAGCTGCGAGAGCTTGGATTCCACTTATAATCGGAGTGGCTATTCCACCAAGTAGGTAGTCTGCGTAACTAAGTTCAGTGTAGCGTTTCACGCTGTCTTCAAGGGGGGAGTTAATCATACTCGAGCCCCAAGCACCTGCATGATGTAGCTAAGATGTCCTTGTAGAAGGTAGATGAAGAGCAGCTTGACGCACACGAACGTATTTGGCTCAAGACACAAAACAAGCGTGATCACTACCGTGTCTTGAAATCATTGATTGCTTTGCAATTAACTTATATTAGTATATATAATGGAATAACCACCGGCAGCCGACAAAAGTTGGGGGCCGACCACGGAAACCGAACACAGGGACACCACCAAGAAGAAGCATTATGTATTATATGTAATATAGTAGTTATCAACGGCGAGAGACTGGACGACGAGGACGACGTCGGCCAATGCTGCTGCGCCTCCTTCTTCTTCTCCTGCTGCTGCTATTGCCACTTTTCTTGCTGCTTCTGCTCGCACTGCAATAACGCTAACGACAGCGATGACGATTCCGTAAGTATCATGGTCAGCAGAAGCCGCAGTGTTGGCAAACCGCCGCTCCAAGCGCTACAGCAACGACAACCGCGACAACGATGACGCCGCATCCAGGTGTCAAGAAGCATCACTGCGTCTGTGCACTTAGACCCTGAAGTCTTGAAGTAGTCCTGAGGTCCCACGCAAACGGCCCTCAAGCAAGAAATTCCGAAGCGACAGTGTGGAATGGAAGGTCTGGAAACAACCCGTCCGTGCGGACCTCAGATTGTGAAGAGGGGATTGATGGTCCAGGGCCCCGACTTCGTAGCAGCACCATGCAATATAACGTCAGAAAATTTAGACAGCATAACATACTCCAACTTAGCCGTGTCATGGATGGCAGAAATTTCACCTGTGAGTTTTGGCCGTGCGGCTACACCTTTCTTATGGCGTCACTCTTGCCTACAATTGTACCCAGTAGACAGCCTCGGTTGAAAGCAACTTCGTAACTCAACCAACCTTCCGGAGCATAACACTCCAAACCGAGTGCGAAGGCTGAAACAGCTGAGGCGGCCGTGAACAACCAAATAGAAGCCCTAAGCCCTCAACAAATAGAACCTCTTACGCTCCACATCATCTCTGACCCGCTAATCTATAAATCCCTGAACCCACTTTTCTGCATGGGTTCGAGCAAGGTTTATACGTGATTTTTTCTGCAGTTGCATCCAGGGCATTACTTTCGCATCACTCAGGTGTGATGCAGGAGAGAATTGGGGCTCTACTTGGAGGTTCATGGGTAGTTATAAGTAGGGTTATAAGTAAGGTTCCTTTAAAGGGATCTATAGGGTTATAGGGTTTAGGGATTAGGGTTTGGGGTTCATGGGTAGTTGTAAGTAGGGCTATAAGTAGGGTAACTATACTTATAACCCATATTAGGGGACTTGTAACCCTACGTATAGCAGGTTGTGTGATGCTTCCTTTGCAGCTGAGCCTATCGGGTTCCGTTTTTGAGTTTGGAAGCATTGACCGGATTCCTGTTGAGATGTTGGCTTCGTCGTTCGCCAGCCGGCTAGGTTTCAATAGCTTGAGATATCTATCAGAAGATCCCTAAGCCCTAAACTGCCCCTGAACCTCCAAGTATGCACGGTGGATCAGAACGAAGGGCTTGGAGGTAGAAGCGTCCCAACCAGTCTCGCGGTTTCACCGGCGGCCCTGAACCCGATGGGCCCCGAGGATGCTCAGACATCGGGGTTTAGGGTTTAGGGTTTAGGGTTCAGGGTTTAGGGTTTAGGGTTTAGGGTTTAGGGTTTAGGGTTTAGGGTTCAGGGTTTAGGGTTTAGGGTTTAGGGTTTAGGGTTTAGGGTTCAGGGTTTAGGGTTTAGGGTTTAGGGTTCAGGGTTTAGGGTTTAGGGTTTAGGGTTCAGGGTTTAGGGTTCAGGGTTCAGGGTTTAGGGTTTAGGGTTTAGGGTTCAGGGTTTAGGGGGGGAAGGTTGGGGTGTAGGTTTTCCTGTAGTTGTATAGGGGCTACGACGGACTACCTTTACTGATCGTTCAGAGCCTGAAGTAGCAAGCCATTGACTGAGGGTCCAGTTCCCTGGTCTACAATCGCACCTCCCACGGCCGCGCCCTCCGTGGGCTCGCAGAAAGTGCAGGCGCAGCTCTTGTGGTGATTGGTGGCGCCAGTCGAACTCTCCGATAGGTTATGACGTTTACGATCGCTGGTCCTGTCTGTGCATTGTTTCTTTTAGTAGGTCACGGTCTGAGTCTAACCCAGCAGTTCCTACGTGTTCCCTATGTTCACGATGTTGGCTCACGTCAGAACTACTTCCTTCTCTGGGCACTGCTGCTACTGCTGCTGTTACCGCTGTAGCGGAATACATCCGAGCCGTAAATTACGGGATATCGGAGTTCCTAAACCTTTAATCCATGGATATCGGAGTCTCTGGGTTCATGGAAGAGGGGGCTTTTCCGCAGCTTTCATCAACAATGCACTTTTCAGGTTTGGGTGTTTGATGAGGGTTTAGGGACGAAAAGGTGCCAAAGCACGAACTATTGAAACCTACACCTCTTGTACGGATTTGACCTTACTAGGTTTATGTTTAGGTGCTTGTTGGTCGCCGATTTGGGGCTGAGTGCTTTGGGGTAGGGCTCGGAGTTCAAGGATGATTGGAGTAAACGGTGTTTAGAGTTTTAGGCCTCAGTGTTTTTGACCAAGAAATTCTGGCCCAGGTTTCGGGGATTGGTGGTTTGTAAGGCCAACAGGGGGTCTAGGCTGTAGGTCGTTTCGGTAATATTGTGGACACATCGGACAAGATTTCTCAAATCCTAAACCCCAAACCCTAAAAAAACAAAGCCTAACCCCTAAACCCTAAACCCTAAAGCCCTAAACCCCTCAACCCTGAACCCTAAACCTTGCCAAAGCCAAAGCCAGCCTGCGTCGGATGATGAGCTCGTGAGACGCCGCAGGGCCAACTGTTGAACCAAGGACCATGCCCGCGCTGTCATCTCTGTGTCGACCCAGACTTTTTAGTAAGTCTCAACTCCAGACTTATCACTCAACTCCAGACATGTCATTAAAGCTCAACTGCACATTTATCCTTTAAGCTCAACTCAGACTTATCGTTAAAGCTCAACTAAACCCAAGCCTGAAAAAGCCTTTGTAAACCCTAGAATCGAAAACCCGAAGCTCCTCAACCAGAACAGACAGCTTGCGGTTTTCGCATTTGGGAGTTTCCGAAAATAGGGGACCCTAGTGTAGAACCCTAAATAGTAGGATCCTAATTATAAGGACCCCAAAATAAGGTACCCCGAATTTTCGGAAACTCCCATTTGAGCGCTTCATTACCCTTCCGACAACGCACACAAGCCAGGCAATGCGACGCAGTTTTCCGGTGAGTGGAGGGGGCCTCTACGTTGCCCAGGTCCGTCTAAGGGTTGGTATTCTGCATGAGGGTAAGCCGTGTTGGAGAAGTCTATCCTTCGGTGATCTCTTGTATTCGAGTTCGGGAATCTAGGGCCTCGATGGTAATTGTTGGTCCCAGGGTGATGTTCATACATGTCCAGAACTCCCTAAAGTAGTGTCCTTTGCATATCTACTCATTACTCTCGTCCTATGGTTGTGATGGTTAGTCTTGTTTGACTTATTGCGACTATGGTTTCGATTGTGGTTGTTTGTATTAGTGGAGTTACCCCCCCCTCATCTCACGAGAAGCCTTCCATTAACGGAGCATGTGACCGACCTCCTGAAAATGTGTACTCCGCATAGGCCTTTTCAACCTAGGACAGGCTGCCACGATAGGATTAAAGCTTTTCTCCAGCAAATGGCAAGCTGTAATGTCTTAATTCTAAAGTCTGCCTATGAAGTTCACAGAGACATTCTCAAACCCTAAACACCAGAACCTAAAACCCTGCGGGTCCTGTTCATACGGAGTTGTACAGTCAGACCGTTCTCCGTAAAGATCTGCCAGAGAAATGCGGTTTAGGGTTTAGGGTTCAGCGTTTAGGGTTTAAGGTTTATGTAAAAGACCTAAGCCAGAAACAAACGGGAATGTTTGGGATGTCGCCCTCATAGCAGGTAGTAGCGACACTTTCGGAAGGCAGAAGCTTGCGAGTGGTCGTGTTTCGCTTTGAATGTATCACCGACCTCTAGCAATGCGATCCCACTCTGCCAAACTACTAACTACTGATTCCTTCAACGCTTTACCAGTGTGTAAACAAAGGGTCGGAAGCACTCAGTAGTGGAATTCCCTTGTAGTCTTCTCTGTAAGTATCTGTACTCCAATATACCCCCAAAAGCACTGTTCTACCTAGTAAGGTCCTGACAAGGCCCCTATAGTTTCTGCAGCCAAAGCAGCCTGTGGAGGTGAAGACCCAAGGCCAAACCCAGTGAAGAGCGCCGGGTTTAGGGTGAACGGTTTAGAGGTTTAGGGCTCTAGGGGTTTAGGGCTTTAAGGGTTTAGGGTTTTAAGGTTTAGGGCTTTATGGGTTTAGGGTTTTAAGGGTTTAGGGCTTTATGGGTTTAGGGTTTAGGGTTTAGGAATTTCGACGGCTTCAACGATTTCGGGCTTTGGCTTCGGAGCTTGGGGGGTTTACGGTTTAGGGAAGTTGCAAGATTGCCTGCCCAGTGCATGGAGAGGCTTCTCAACGTCCGTCGCATCGTAACCTCCTTGATTCTGGTTTAGCATCATCAAAAATATAGCAAAGATTGCATCAGAAGGGCGCAGAGTGTGTATGTATATACGCACATATTTATGTATATGTACATGGAGTTATATTATATATATATATGTATATGTACATATACCCTTCGTATGGCGTTGCTATCCCAGACTTCGAGCCCGAAACGTCGGACGTTGGTTTCTCGTAGCTGGCTCGGAGGCGACCAAAGAATGTTTCACCGAAGCCTGAACGGGCTTCTTTCGCAGCTCTTCTTTTGCCTTACCTCTGGTAGGGAATGGAAGCATGGTAGTAATAGTGGTTATACTTGTATCCCATTCCTCCATTCCCTACTAACCAAAGGTAAGTTGCTT